CCACACATAATTTTATCGCAAAGTTAATTTAGATACTCTAAGAAAATAAAATAAAATAAATAAAAAATAATCTTCCGTGATATTCCAAAATTGTCCGTGTTCACGTGCTCACGAGGGCCACTACATTACATATATAGACACATCACTGCGAAACCCTAAAATCTCTTTTTCTCTCTTTCTGCCTCTCTTTGCTTAATTTTGGGTGTAAAGGGGTGAGCAAGTTTCAACTGTGCAGCCATGGCTCTGGTATGTTTCTTAGATCTTCATTCATTCCTTTTGATGTTAACAAAATAGATCTGAGTTTTCAATTCTTTATGATTTATAGCTAAAGATTTCATCTTTACTGCTGGTTTTTCAATCTGTTAGCATATCTCATGCACTTTTGGTTGTGGGGTTTGTAGTGTTTATTGAATTATTACTGTACTTTATTTTGCTAAGTTCTTCATCTTGGTATCTTTAATAGTTTTATTTGGATTTTTTTGAGTGTAATATGATTTTTATAATTATAAAATCTAAGTGAAGGTTAATTATTTGCTGAATTTTCCATCTGCCTATGCCTATTGGCTATTTGAATTTGTCTTCTCCTAAAGTTTTTTGCATGTATGAATCACTCAATTAAGTAGAGTGCGTATCACTGTATTGGCTGAAGTGTGAAGATCCTTTTCCCCCCCCTCCTTTTCTAGATAGCATTTGACCCTCTTGCACGCACCTTGACAATTCCACTGATTACTTATTATGTCGCACTATCATAAGTACCGGGTAACTTTGCCCACCAAGAATTAGGCAGACACCTAGTTCTTGTTTTTTGGGCCTCTGCTGTCGTTTGAACATGTGAACTCATGGTTTTCCTCCCGCTTCATTGATCACTAGGCAACACCCTTCGATGCCTTGCCTTGAGTGGAGATTGCTGAATCTTTTTTCTATTTATAGTATGACCCTTTGTTTTTAGTTGCTCTGTCCTATAAGCATCTCTTTTCCCTTGAGAAAGACACCCTACAAAGAAGACCGGGTTTCTGTTGGAGGGTTCTGTATGCGCTGAGTCAAATGGAATTCAAATTATTATTTTTATAATAAAGAATGTGGCATCTTGAAAGTTTTTAGGATTTTTGAGGTGTTTAACTTGATGATATATTGTGCCTTTATTGAATCTGTTGGATGGGAGAAAACATCAGAGGACGCAAATCTATTTGGATTGCTAGCTGAGAATAGAGGTTCTGCGTTATTTTTTTTTTCTTACAAAGATGATTGTTTTTCCGATTGATTAAAATGGGACATTATGCATGAATGCTAGAAGCTTTTCCTTAGCTACTCTTTCAGTAGCAGAACTCTCTTAAGAACAAGTGCAGATGATATGTCCAATTGTATCCTGTTCTTCTTGGGGATGTAATTTCTTGACGATATCCTCGCATTTAAATTTTCTTCATTATATATGTTGCAGGTTTTGCACTCAACAAATAACAACAAAAATGCCTCAAAGGCACTCATTGCTGCTGAGTACACAGGTGTAAAGGTTGAACTTGCAAAGAATTTCGAGATGGGTGTATCAAACAAGACACCTGAGTTTATCAAGATGAATCCAATTGGAAAGGTATGTTATTATTCTACAGGACCGCATATATTTTCTCTTGTACATCAGACACGGTTTTGCTAATCTTGATTGGTGTGTGTTTTTTGACCTATAGATTCCTGTGCTTGAAACACCTGATGGACCTGTTTTCGAGAGCAATGCTATTGCACGCTATGGTGAGGCTGTTTCTCAATTTTTTTTAGACTTGTGATCATATAACAGAAATTAACTCTGACATTGACCTTTAATTCATGTAGTTACTAAATCGAAGCCCGACAATCCCCTTTTTGGTTCATCATTGATTGAATATGTAAGTATTTTGGTTTCTTAGTTTCATTCATTCAGCAGTTACATTTTTCATTTGTGAAATTCTTAATTCTTGATTTATGTTCACTTTCTCCTTGATAGGCTCAAATCGAGCAATGGAATGATTTTTCTGCCACTGAGATTGATGCAAACATTGCACGATGGCTGTACCCACGCCTTGGCTATGGTGCATATATTCCTCCGGTATGTATCGCACTGTGCATTATTTAAAATATTTCTTGAAATAATAGAAAAAGCAAAACAACTGAAATCGTCTTGTTTTGCAAAAAAGGCTGAGGAAGCTGCAGTAGCTGCATTAAAGAGAGCTCTTGATGCTTTGAACACCCATCTGGCATCTAATACTTACTTGGTTGGACATTCAATCACATTGGCCGACATCATAATGGGCTGCAACTTGAGCGTCGGTTTTAGGATGATAATGACTAAGAGCTTTACCAAGGAATTCCCACATGTAGAGAGATACTTCTGGACTGTGGTTAATCAGCCAAATTTCTGCAAGATATTGGGTGAGGTGAAACAAGCTGAATCTGTCCCAGCTCCCCCATCCAAGAAGCCTGCACCGGCGAAGGAAGCTGCAAAACCCAAAGCAAAGGAGGAGCCAAAGAAAGAGGTTAAGAAGGAAGAACCAAAGTTTGAAGAGGAGGAAGAAGCACCCAAGCCTAAGGCAAAGAATCCTCTTGATCTCTTGCCTCCAAGTAAGATGATTCTGGATGATTGGAAGAGGCTCTACTCCAACACCAAGACCAACTTCCGCGAGGTTGCCATTAAAGGTACGTAGTTTTTTCTGTAATGTTACCTATCTTATCAAAAGTTTAGAAAGATTTCTCACTATTAGTTATTTAAATATATTTGCTTTCTTCAATCAGTTCATGTTTTGTTTTTTCTTAAAAAAATATTCTGAAGTTCATGTTTTGTTCCTTTTTTCATTGTTTAATCTCTCTTTTGAATGATCAATTTGTGATGTTCTGTATCTGATTGATCTAGTTAATCACTAATCTTTACAGAAAATTTTATCTTTTGACAATTTTTAGTTTCAAGTATAGGGATATGGGGGGTGGAGAATTTGGAAACCTAGTAAAAGAACAGGGAATTTTCCACTTCCACAAGAATATACTTGAACTCGTTCCTTGTACTGTTCTTGTTTTGCAGGTTTCTGGGACATGTATGATCCCGAAGGATATTCTCTCTGGTTCTGTGATTACAAGTACCAGGATGAGAACACAGTTTCCTTTGTAACCTTGAACAAGGTTGGTGGTTTTCTGCAGAGAATGGATCTGGCACGCAAGTACGCTTTTGGTAAGATGTTGGTAATTGGTTCAGAGGCCCCATATAAGGTGAAGGGCTTGTGGCTTTTCCGTGGAAAAGAAATTCCCAAGTTTGTTATGGATGAATGCTATGACATGGAGCTCTATGAATGGAAGGAAGTAGACATCAACGATGAAGCACAGAAGGAGCGTGTCAACCAAATGATTGAGGATTACGAGCCCTTTGAGGGAGAGGCTCTGTTGGACGCAAAGTGCTTCAAGTAAACATTTGTGTTGCATTCGGCAATGGTTTCCTTTCGCGTGAGGTTGTAGTTTACCTTGGTTTTGTCCTCCCAAATTTACGTAGATTCTTGTTTTAAAAACTATCTTGCCTTTTTTTTTGTTGAGAAAGGTGAAAACATATATTGTCTTAAGAGGTTTTCTTGTCTTTGTAGTATGTTTTTTAAATTATCGACTTGACATAGTGAACTGGGATATATTTTTGATTGAGTTGTTTATCCTTTTCAAAGTAAAGCAGTTTTGGCAGTGATGAATCACCTTTTGCAACTTGCATGTTAACTTGTACTGTGGTAAGATATAGGTGAATATCATATTATACATGGGTAGGGTAGCTTTGTGCATTAAGCTCCCGTTATGCGCGGGGTTCGGGAAAGGATCGTCTATTGTACGCATCCTTACTCATCATTTTTGCAAGAGGTTGTTTTCCCGGCTTGAATCAGCCACCTCCTGGTCATATGGCAGCAACTTTACCAGTTACGTCAAGACTCCCATTTCATATTATACATGGGTGAAAAATATATTTAAGTGGAGCAAAAAAAGAGAGAAAATCATATAATTCTTAGGCAATATATTCGAGTAAAAAGAAGGATAAAATTCAATTCTGCAATGCGAATCCCATCTTATGCATCGCTATACGAAGATAGCTCAATTTGGTTGGCAGAATGCTATGGAGAAAACTGGGCAATAGTGATTTCTCACAGTAAGCAAAATTCTAGTTGATTTAAAATTCCTAAGTACTATTAGGAAAAACTAATATGAATATATTATAGTTATGTTATATAATTCAAATAAGAAAAGGATTAATAAATAGAATTATAGTTGATTACAAAGTTCAAAGTAATAAATGTAATAGAGTTCGTATTGTATTTGAAGTAGGACCCTCCTTATATAGTGAAGCTTTTTAGCCTTTTAGTGTTGTTTTTGAACAGAGGTCTCTCAGTTTTTCACCTCCTGAAAAAATGGCTTTGATTCCTTGTGAAGAGGAAGGTAATTTACACACACACACACAAATAATACTATGGGTTCTTCTACTTTTCTTCATCAAAATCTTGACTTTTAATTTTTTTTTTTTTAAATTCTATTTGTTTTGTTCTATAAGATGTTAGTACTATTTTAGTTTAAGAACCAAAGATGGTGGTGGGAATAACTAACTCTCCATCAGACACAAGCCGAATTACTGGAACCTAGTAGTTTTTGCTCAAATAGTGTGCTTCAAATTCATCAAATATGTAGAAATATTAAATTTAAAAAATCCAAAACCCATAAGGTTAAAATCTAGCTTCGCCTCTGCTCTCCATCTTTCTCCATCTTTAATGAATTCTGGGGTTCGAGTTTTGGGTATGAAATACCTTTGCTAGGGAGCGCTATACCTCCAAAAGCATAATTTCCCAGCAAATTAGTCCGGCCCCAAAGCAGACGGTGGGGAACCAAAAGTAATATTTTAAAATTGAAAAGTTTCTAGTATATATATATATATATATGTGTGTGTGTGTTTCTTGTTTTTCATGTTGGATTGTGATTTTCTTTGATTTTTGAAAATGCGCAGAAGTTACAGTGGAAGTTAGGGATGCATCCCCATCACACTACTTGATGAAGTTTGATCTTTTTACAAACTATCAGAGAATGATATTGACATGTATGAATCAAATGAATTTGAGGCCTGCGGCTATAAATGGTAATGATACATCGATTGTTATTTTCTCGATTCTTTTGAATTTCCCTCGCATTTCTCCCGAACAAGAATTTTTAGTGAATTTCTAGGGTCTGGACAAAAGCTACTGGTTCACGTGAACTCGTAACTTCTAAGCTTGGTCCGCCCTTGTTGATGGGTTCACTTAAAAAGTTGTAGACATACTTGCAGAACTATTCCTAAATACGCGATGGAGAATCAATTAAAGAATTATACTTAGCATCCAAAGCGCAGGAGTGCATCATTCTTGAAAGCTAAAATTAGTTACTCATATTGCATTTGTAGTGTATTTGATTGTGTAGTTGGCGGAATTCTCATCATATGAAGAAATAGTTATGTAATTCTAGAAATCTAAGAAATTAGGTTAAGATCTACTTTGTACGGACTCTCCGGAATGACGTCGCACCCTTTGCAGGATCCGACACACAGACATTTAGGAGAGTCCAAGCAACATAGGTTAAGATTATGTATGACAGTTAAGAGTATAACAAGGAATAACTATTATTCGATCCACTAAAAGTCCACTCAATACGCGCTTTATATTTAAAAACAGAAGTTAGACTTGATTAATGCACATTCTTGATGTCGCATTTCCCACAATGTCGTCGTTTTCATGTACCATGACATGAATTTATGGAAATTAATTGTTGACGGACTTGGTGCAGGAAGTTGATCATCTATCCCAATGGGGATGACAGGATAGAGGGAAACGATTACATCTCTGTCTACTTGGCCATTGCGAATGACAGCTCCTTACCTGGTGGTTGGGAGGCTAATGCTGTGTTTAGCTTCTTTCTGTTTAATCGACTTTGTGACAACTATCTTGTTATACGTGGTACATATCCTCTTACATTCTTCTACTTTACATTCGTTTTTTCCCTTTTCCTTCAACTGTTTGATCGATATAGAGCATTCTCTGGAACTTCTATGTTGGATATTTTTCCAGCTGAACTCGGACATAAGATTTTTGTAATGCTATATATAGGAATGATTATATATGATTTATTGCCTTCAGGTCAAGTGCGGCGATTTCACAAGGTCAAGTCCAAATGGGGTTTCTCCAAGTTTATCTCTCACAAAGCACTGAAAGAGCAGTCCAATGGATACCTTGTCGATGACAGTATCATTATCGGAGCTGAGGTATTCGTCGTCAAGAGCCAAGGAGTTGGTGAATGTGTGTCGATGTTGGAAGACATCGAGACTAATAAGCACGAATGGAAGATCTCCGAGTTTTCAAAATTAGGGGATTCTTGTTATCTAAAGAGTTTACTGTTGGGGATTACAAATGGTATGTCATTGATGTCAGAGGCGGATTCAGGATTTAAATTCTATCGGTTCAGTTGCACCTGGTACCGAAGGGCTGAATCCACCCCTGATTGATGTATTCATATACGTTATATATTCTTCTTTGTTTAACTATTTCAGTTTGGTGTTTGAGTAAATAGACTTTCTTATGTTTGGATGCAGGAAAATTTTGCTTCGTCCTAACAGTTGTGTTTGTCAAAGGGACCAAAGCATCTCTATCTATCTTATATTAGTTGATGCTGAGGGATTTGGTTGCCGAAAAAGGGTTAAGGTAGAATACACCCTTTTTGTCAAAGACCAGATTAATGGTGAACATCACAAGAAAGGTTATTATTTTCTCTTTGTTTCTTAATTTAAATTCATGATTTGGGGAAAAAAAGAATTTTCAAATCAGTTTTTTGATGAAAGAATGTTGGTAATGGTGTCAAGACTAGTGGTCTAATAGCGGTAGAAGAATAGATGCGTGGTGAAGGAGGAGGTGATGTTACCGATGGTTTGGGACAGAGGGAGGTGGTGGTGGAAGAAGAAGACGTAGGGGATGGGTAAAATGAGATAGGTGTGATGAGGTGGCATGCCACGTGGCCTCCACCTCAGTAATATGTCATGCCATATGAGATAATATTACCATGGTAAATGGTCCTAATGGCCTCGGGATATTTTTGCACATTCTATGACGTCGGGGGCTATGGTGAACCAATAATATAACAGAGGATATAAATAAACATTTTCGAATAGTGGAGGGGTATTTTTGACCTTTACCGTTATATCTATCTATTTCTGAGCTAAGTTTGGTTAAATTCTTCACCTGGTTAACTGAATTGGTTAAATTTTAGTATGCATAATCGATTATCTACATGGTTAAAAAGCAATTTCAATATATCTATATCAAACGGATCCTTCATTTTATTGCTTTCTAGATTTGGTTAGTTCCTTTGAATAATTCGACATTGTTCTCCTGCAGATTTTTCAAGTTGGTTTTCAGCTGTTAGTGACAGTCTGGGTTTGCATGCATTTATGCCGCAACATGAATTAAAGGATCCAAAAAGAGGCTTCCTTGTCAAAGATTGCTGCATTGTCGAAGCAGATGTTTCTATCATTGGTGTTGTTAATGGCCTAACCTAATTGTTGTTTATCTATTTAACAAGCAAATATTGAAAGTACAGGGGGTGAATTGTAGCCTTTTTAAATTTCTAATCGACTACTCTTCAAGCCTAGTCGACTTATGCGGAGACAGCCTCCACACAACTGTTAGTTCTTTCGATTTAAACAAGTATTAATCACAATAAACAGTAAAGGAACATAATATAATACGAGAGCGATAAAGTAAATGACACCAGGAATTTTATATTGGTTCGGAACCAATGTGGTATCCTAATCCAGCCCTCTTGGGTTGCAAGAGTGTTATCTTTTAGAGCTCTTTGTAAATTGAATCGAGTACAGCCTTTGTGATTTTTAGCGATCACCACCAACACTGACAGGGTTGGTTTTGACTCGCTCACCAACAACGACCCTTTGGTTTTCACTCGCTCACCAAAGAAACAGACAATGACACAACCTCTAGAACACACTGTCTCTCCAATTTTTTTTGTCTCTCTTCTCTCTTTTGGGTACACAGTAAATCTACTAAAGTGAATTACAATGCTTGTTAAGAGTAGAATAAAGAACTTGTAGTTGGATAGACAATTGTATAGAAGGCTGCGTGCTTTTCTTCTTTGTTAGAAGTGCCTATTTATATCCTTTTCAACTTGTTCTAGCTATTTCATGACCCAAGGGAATTTTGAATATTCTCACGATCTTCGTTGCATCCATTATTTCCTTGAATCTTGGAGTAATATCTGTTTCCATATCTAGCCTTGATATAAATTTGGTCACGCCATGAGATCCTCCTTCGAACCAATATGATTTGTGGCTTTTTGTCCAAGGTTAGATTGCTTCTTATTAACTTGGACAGAATATAGTCTTTATCTTGCTTGAAATACTTTCCTTGTGGGTCTCTCCTTAATTGCTGGACATGATAATCTTTCTTTTCTGATCTTTCCAAACATGGCCACTAAGTCTTTAAATATTGATATTCTTTTGTGCACCTGCTAGACTTTTCCTTAATAATTGTAGGTAAGAATCTTTCCTTAATAGCTTCTGATAGTCTTAGATAGATTGGCAAGGCTCCTTGTTGTATCTTGACAGATGGCAAATAGATATTTCTTGATTTGTTTCCTTGTCTGAAATCTTCAGCGGCTTCTTTTTCTTCTACAAATTGTGGTGAATATCCTTTTTGAATTTACTTTCCTTGCTAACTAATATTCTCTTTAGTTGTCCAAAGTTCTTTCCATAATATAGCATATACTATACCCATAATATATTTTCTTTCCATAAAAATATATTCTTCCTTGGTCTTGTAGTTTCTCTTCCATATAGTATCTTCCTTCCACAAAATAATAGATCTTCTCCACGATTTTAGCAACTTCCCCTTAAAGATGTTTAAAGACTTTCCATCCATAATTTCCGTAGATTCTTCTTCTGATATTGTAGTGAGCCATTTAATATTTGAAATTTGACTTTCAAATATTATTCCTTTTATGACGCTTGAAGATTAAATCTCTGAAAATGATCTTCCTTGATAAATTCATCACATGATATTCTCTTTTCCATATTTGTTTGGATCTTTACCAGCATCTTCTTTCTTGAATAAACCTATACAAAAATAATATTACCACAAGTAAATGTTCTTTGATTTATATTGGTTTGTTATCATCAAAACTAATACGTGAAACTTTGAAGCTAACAATCTCCCCCTTTTTGATGATGGCAAACCATTGAGTACAAAATAAGAAATTTTAGTCAAAGACTTAATTACAGGCAGTGATAAGCTATAAGCTAGATAAACTGGTTACTTACATGAAGTTTTCCTCTCGAAATGCATGTATTACATTAAGTGTGTGTGAACTCCCCCTCACTCTAAGCATTCCTCAGTTCTGCTCCCCCTGTTTCCATACATTCTACCTTTTTCGAACTTTCGTACACATTATTTTCTCCCCCTTTTGTCATCATCAAAAGGGTGAAGTAACTTGTAGGGAATATGCAAATAAAAGTATAACTATAACTTATAATCATCCAAGGAGTTAAAAAAAAACATATAGTAATAATTCCCTTTAAGAGCCGTAAGCAGAAAGAAAAATCTAACAAAATTTGAAGCTAGTTGACAGCTTTTAACCCGACCAAAATATCCAAAGCGATAACCCAAAGCTAAAATATATTGAACTGTCATTGTAGGTAGACTAAAAAAATTCTAGACCACAGAAGAACATCATTTCACATGACTGAAAGCTTAGCAGAGATTAAAAAAAACTAACAGGATACTTGTCTTTTTTCAAAACATCATTTAGCATATAAGACGGTGTAATCGCACATAGTCACTTGAAAAAGGCTCGATGATTTAAAAAGATTAAGAAACTTCTGATATCCTCACATGTTAAACTTTTCATGAAAAATTTGAGCAAAAACTTAAGGTCCGTAGAACGATTACAACATATTAATGCATATAAGAGTCAAGAAATGGTCATATAATTATATCACCAAATAAATATGGAATCATATCACCAAAGAGAAGGATATGGGATCATTCTCATGAAAGTCGTTATCCTTTTCATGACATGAGAATATTAAAAATCTCCATCACATTTTTTATTTCAGTCCAATTTGTTGCCTGCAAGGTTTGCATCTGAAAATATTCTACTAGATCAAAATAATTAGTTCTTGCATACAGTAATACATAATTTAGAATCAACCAAAGATCCTTTGTGGCACTATAAAGAGATATTATGGGATCAGGTATACCAAAATATATGTCATAAAAATGCAATAGAGTCGGTCATACCTTGGTATATTCGATCGTTGGACTTACTAATTTTCTCCTTGCTTCGCATTATTTGGAATGTGAAGATAAAAGTAAATTCTCCATTATATTCATTTCCAACCCGATCATCTACCAGAGGCTTAAAAATGCTTGACATGCTTTTGGTTAGTATTACAAAAAATATGCTCTTGCAAATACATCTTTGGAAAGAATAATCGTCAGATGATAAACATGAATTTGTTTCAAATGGTAACTAGTCTTAGTCACACGAATGTGATTAAAAAAAACTTTTCAATTCCAGAGAGAGGCTAGAGAATAATGTTATGCAGTTTTCAAACCATTTAAAAATATTTCAACATCCATACAAAAATACTTTACAAACTTTGTAATAAGCACATGAAAAATGATATTCTAACAAAACTCTCAAGGAAGAAACAGACCTTCTTGTTGTGAAACCTTGAGCTACAAGTTTACACATAATTTTTACAACCTTACCAGTCTTATGCGGCTTTAGATATCCATAATTGCAGCTCATTTGCTTGGTACTGGATTTCCATATTATTGATTCTTTCAGCTTTGCTCAATAAGTCTTGTATTACTAGGATCCAGCATTCAATGCTTCTTCATGACTGTCTAGTTCAACTAGTATAGATGTGTCACTAGCAATTTATTTCAAGCTATCCACTGTAATTTCTCCATCCTTATTCACAATTTACTTAGAAAAATATTAGTATAAAGAAAAACGCGCATGATGAGATTTCTCTACAATTAATGAATAAGAAATATGTCAAGAGGCTTGTTTAACCAAAAAATGGAATTTCAGTCAAAGCTAGAATTTAGAAGAACTCGGGTTACTGATAATCAAGAAAATGTAGAGAAAAGAAGTAATTAAGGAGAGTAAAATAATAATCAAGAGAAAATAAATCAATATGTTATTCCCCAATGTTTCGTCCCTACAACTGATCGTATATCTCCCTTTTTATAGCTACTTTTGAATGATATCCGTTTTATTCTAATTATAATGAGGCTATTATGTGACATTAAATGTATTAAATGCTCCGTTACACAATCATTACATAAGAAATATATTCTCTAACGTATTCGGTATTTAATGCCCATCAAATGTCGCATCTGCACTCCTTTATATGGCCAGATTCATTCCTTTTGATTCTCGGATATAAATGGCTTAAATAGGTACGGGCGTTGTGTTTCTTAACTGATGTCCCGTGCCTCTTCATCTTTCTTTGCTCGTATTTATTGTAACCCCTGTCTCGTGACTAATCATGATTCTTTGACCATTTGACTAATCCATGTGTCTTGACACGTCACCTTTATATATAAATAAAATTTTCCAAATACAGATAGTCCTCCCACTTTCTATTTATTCATCAGTTTGAATATTTGGGAAGTGGATTTCATTAAAGGAGAATTTTTGTCACCATTAATGCTCTGACAGAGTTGACGCCTCACTTGTTATTTCCATTTAATGCGCTGGACACGTGTCATCTTCTTATTGGTCCTATAATTGTGCAGCACTTTCTTAGGCTTTCTTTTCGGCTTCCCTGTTTACGAAGTGTCAGTTATCATTATTATGGACTTTCCATCACTGTACTCTTTACTTCTGACGGTTGCTCACTAGTATAAATATAACTTCCATCCTTGCCTTCTACCACTTAAAGCGTATTGAACACTTTAATTCTTCAAATCTTTTATTCAATTCTTCTTCACTTCAATCTTCTTCGTCATGGCTTGTCCAAACCCTAACCCTAGGAGAACTCCTATTTTAGATAGCTTTCCCAATGCTCCCGTTAGACATAGAAGAGTAGGTGGTGGTAGACTCCGCAGTTTAGGATCTGTTCGTGGTGGTAGTTCACTCATACCTTCTTCTAGTTCTGGTCCTTCTTCTAGAACTGGAGGTTCCCATTCTCAAAGGTTTTCTTCCAGAAACAAAGAATCCTCTGAGCCCTTACGCGAACCTTTAGTAGAAGAAATAGTTCCAACGGACCTATCTTTTTATCGTGATAGGGAATCTATCAGGACTCAAGTTGCCTCTTTAGATCGAGCTGATACTTATCCTTCTCAAATTACTGAACCTTTAATCCCCATAGTTCGTAGAGATTGTCATTGGAGTGACGATTTCCCCATTATCATTCCTAATCCAAATCAGAGGATCACCTCTTACAACACTGGATTTTCTTTTGTTTATACGTACCCCTTCACTCTAGGGTTTAAACCTGCCATTGATCCAGTTATCCTAGATTTTTGTCGCTTTTTTAATGTTAGCTTGGGTCAAATTGGCCCAAT